TCAGAGATTACAATGACCATGTCGGTCTTTATCAGAATTTCAGAGATTAGTATCCATACTTCTCTGATTACGGGTTAGCTTCTTTTGTGCAGAATGAGGAATGAATGAAACAATATATTTTTTTTTCAATTCCTAAAAATCTCACTGCACCACTTTCATTCTTAAAATATCTAATAAATCAGTTAGAATTTAACTGACAGTTAAATTTATCTTTAGATTCAAGTTTCGAAAAAGTTATTATTATTGTTTAACTATGAAACAAGAGTTGTTGCCCTACAGTGTACGATTAGGAATAAATTGAGTCCTCTTCAATGAGTAGTGCCATTGCATTCGGGGTTGCTGTAACACATTAACTTTTTTCACACTGCAATTTATTAAGGTTATTAATTTATTATTTTTTATGTTAAAATAATAATTATTTTTTATTTTTTAAAAAATTAAATTTTTTTTAATAATTTATGTAATATTTATTTTATTACTTTTTCAAAAAAGCTAAAAGATAAAAATAAATTTTATGTAAGATAATCAATTAAATAAATAGATAATAATATGATTTAAGAAAGGAAAAAATATTTGTATAACTTAAAAAATAAAAATGAAATTAGGTAGAATAGCAGAAGAGGAGACGAGTTGCTCTCGTCACCAGTGTCTTAAATTGGCACTTGACAAAACAAACAAGACGTCAACAATTTGATGATGCAGTGGAGGGCTGATTCCGTTAGGGCAGTTAACGTGCATTTTCGGTATAAACCAAAAATCAACTAATAAAGTTAGCCAGTCCAGCCTAACTAACATCATTCGTGTTTATAAACCAAAAATCAAGCCTAAATGAACGCAGAACCCTGTTCATAGTTTTAAACTCCAAAAAGAAACCAACCAATCAACTTATGTTTCTAGATATAAAGAACATGAAGAAATGAATGTCAATGTGTATCTCAAAAAGTAAATTCTAAAGTTAACCTCATCTTTGCGTGCTAAGAAAATATAACCTCAACCAATAAACAATATGTTAAAGTATGCAAAATCTTTCTTCTAGATATATTCCTAAACCAACCCAGAATGGAGATGCAATGGACAAGTTCTACAGACTTTGAGGCGAATACTAGTACAATATTTTCATTTTAAATGAGGTTCCCTGGACAGCTTAACTCTGACCTCTAAAAACTTGCAGTGGATCTAATTCCCTAATATTATTATAGACCAGTGCAGTAACAATGATCAAAATCACATAACATTACTATCTTATTGCCAAAAGAATAGCATAAAACCAAAGATGTTAGTACAATGAAACATACTTTTAGTCAACCATGTAACAAATATTGAAACATAACTTGAAATAATCAGGTTCCCTTACTACGAATAAAGCAAACATTTGCAACTCTTATTCTATTCAGAGGAGAAAAGTAACATGAATTTAGAGAGGGATGTACTTACCCTGGTTGGATGTCTATTGGATTTTAAATGGTAAATAATATCCACCAATGAAAGCATAGAAAATCAGACTGAGAAAACAAAAGCAGTCCTAATTCAACTAAATTTAAATCCTCTACTCTAGTCAATTCTTATCAACAGTATTCCAAAGTAATAATATTTCCTTCCCATATAAAACTTAAACAAAAATATATCAAATATAGGTGAAAGAAGAGAGAAAATCTTACAACCTAGAACAACAGTGTAAATCCTAACAGAAAAGAAAATTTGAGAGATATAAAACATAGAGGAGAGGGGAAAAAACAAAAGAAATAGGGGTTATTAGATAAACCAAAAAAAAAAAAACTAATTGCATCTTCTCCTTGTTTCACAAAAACCCATAACAAACCTCTCAACAAATCAAATACGACACCCCTTCTCTTTTCTCTGATTATTTCATCCAACTCCATCTTCTGTAAACATGCACAATCTTTTTGCTGGCTGATAATCTAATAGACCCATCATAAAGAACATAAATTTGGACTAAAAAGCAAGTGAGATATTTACCTGACAACTGACCGCTCTACTAATCCTTTTTCGTCACCAAATCACCCCTTGTTCTTCACCTTCCTCATGCTTACAACTCACCTTATAAGGGAAATAATGATGATAAGAAATTCTGTGTTAAAAAAGAAAATCACCAACAAAGAAAGATGAGAGAAAAAGTTACCCAGTTTCTGAGCTAGTTAAGTTATGGGTAGATTTTGTTTCTAAGCTAGAGGAGGAGAAAAATAGAAAATCACCAACAAAATCGACACATCTAACTCATTTTTCTCCTTCACTATCATCCTGGCTCGCCAGAATGACAACTATTCCAGCTGTCACTTACCCTGTCATCAACCTTCTATTTGCCAGAAAATATTCAATATATACCGACAATAAGACAGCGTAGAAAAGAGAAATGCGACAACAAAATAAATAAAAATTACATTATTAGTAACTCTTGATTATATGAATTTTACTCATCTAAACAGTATCTAAGGAAAGCCATATCATAGCTTTTAATCATAAACAAAACGAATATGTCTAAGGAATGAAAATTTACCTAACAATTTTGTATAAGCGCGTTTGTTTTTTCGTTCTTCCCAGACGATTTTTAATTTCAAAACTCAATCATTTCAGACTATCTTATCACCAATCTCTAATCTTCTATCTCAAGCCATGACATTCGCCAGCTTAGAGACTCAGCCACCGTCAACCAAAGTCACTCCTCTCACCAAAATCCAGTCCGTCAAATGCCATTGCTGCTGCTTTATTGAGGAATACACTCCGGCCTACATCCTCCGCGTCCGGGAACGCTACCTGGGCCGCTGGATTTGTGGCCTCTGTATTGAGGCCATCAAGGACATGGTGCAGAGATCCCACACGGCCATCTCCACCGAGGAAGCACTAGACTGACACATCAGCTTCAGCGAGGAGTTCAGGGCCTCTTCTCCTCCTGCCAAAACGGAGCACCCAATCATTGCCATCAGCAGGCTTCTCCACCGCAAACTCTAAATATTACAAAAATTTGAAAGAAAAATAAAATAAAAAAGAGTTTTACCCAATAAACTCAAATTTGGAAAATCAGCCACCACCAAGTTTCTTTCTCTCTCTTTCTCGGCTCCTGAACCCACGATCTTCCTCTTCCATCTTTTCTCCAACTGTTACCCATTGCCCATCCCCGTTGTCTCCGCCCTTTTCTCATCTCCTCTTCTCACCTCCGGCCTAGCCCCACCACTCAAAATTTTCCCCGTCGGACTCCCATGCCCAGATCTAATCACCGTAGATCTACCTTTCTTTCTTCTCTCTTCGCTAAACCCCTTCCTCAATCTTCCTCTACCACCAGCAGCAAGAAAGGAAATGTGATACCAACGAGGGGTTGAATCAAGTGGTAAGCGGCTTGTTCCAGCTTAAGGAAGGTTTCAAGTTCGATACTTTGTGTATGCAGCAGCCCCGCTGGAAGACTCACCCACCATTTCCAGCTACGCGACGCGGGTCGGGTCCGGAGATGAGAGAAATAAGCAACAGATACGAAATCATCACATTTGAAATCCAAAAGGAGACAGAGGGTTTGGTGCTCCAATCTCAGCAGAGCAAACAAACCCAAATCACCGAAAGTCAGCTCAAACCGTAGAACCCGACTTTCTCATTCGATGATTGACAACCAGAGCCCAGATTTAGTGAGAATCAATTAAACGCAGAAAAGAAGATAGATCAGCTTACTAAACACTGCTAAAATAGGAAGAGTAAAAAGACCCAAAAGCCAAATTCCAAGAGACAATAGGAGAAACAAAGCACTGAGGGCAAAACAGAGAAAACAGAATCTGGAAAGGGGTGGAGGCGACGGACAAAAGAATTGAAATTAAAAAGACCATAGAGCTAAGTATAGGCAAAAACTTATTTTTAACCCCTCAACTTTTCAAGTTGAAAAGTTTTAATGCGAGTGGGCAAAAATCAATTTCGGTTAAAATCAAAATCGATTTTAAAATAACCAAAAAAAATTTTCTCTAATTTTAAGAATTGAAATTGAATCAAAGTTTTCACAAATCGAT